AGTGCTTTATTTGGTAGTTATGGCCTCCTCAAGTGCAGTGTCACTGTTAAAACTGGAAGACAGATGTCCTCGTTCCTTTTCTCCTTGTTTTTAAGGGCGAGGTATGTAGATCACACTCCCATTAAGCAAACACAGTCATACAAGGTTTTCCATGTTCTAGATGTAACTTGGCAAAGGCTGAGGAATGCAGAGTTAAGACTGCTGGTGCAGATGTAATTAACTCCAGTGCCACTATGTGTAATATAGCTACAGCATTCCATATGGGCCATCCAGTGCCTATCCAGTTACATGTGCTGAGTTAAAACACCAGTTCAAGCATTCTGATTTAGTGTGGGACTGCACAAATACCTCAAACCATCTAAAAAAACTTCTAAGAATGTAGCTATTACATGATAGCAACTCAGAATTGGGAGCTAACTAACTGGGAGCTAATCTAATGCTGTGTAATGTGGCACAGGAATAATCGTAGTAAAATTCTAATCCTCTGATCTGGCAGTGATTTGCAGAAGTACTCTGGCTGTTGGTTCTGAATTCTTGGCAAAGTGTTCTGTGGAGTTTAAACTGCTCTTTCCTTCAGTTACCACATGCTCTAAGCTTTAGGTTATCTGAAAAACTTCTTGATTTGATCCAGTCTTGGGTTGATTTTATTAATGAAGGAGAGAAATGCTAATTAACAAACAAAGGAAAAATCTGTGGTTTCCCAGCTAGTGCTGTTATGAGATTTAAATCACTTACATGAGTGTACTAATACACACTGTACAGCTTGCAGCCCACAGTGCCTTTTTTTTTTTTTCCCCAGTAAATAAATGTCAGCTTTCATCTTCCTGCAGGCAGGACAGAGGTTTGCTAATACCAACACACCACGTGTGACCACTGCTATTAGTAATCACGGGTGGGAGCAACCCAACAACAGTCACAGGGAACACACGTTCAGGTTCCATATACTGCTCACATGCACTGCTGATCAGACTGGAACACGGGCAGTGGTGCACTGAAGCAGAGTCCAACAGGAAGGATTAACTGGGGCAAGCACTGACCTTGGCCTTGAATGTTTCTGAAGTATACTATAAGGGAAGGTAAACGCTCAACATGAAGGGCATCCTGATCCTTTTATCTATGTAGAGTAGGGAGATGGGGGGGTTACTTTTACTTTTTGTGAATGCCTCAGGATCTGAGCATGCTCTGTGGAAGCAGGATACAGAGCAGACTGCAGCGCTGTTCTGTGTCTGTTAAGGAAACGAGCCCCACCTCAGCTAAAATGGGCAAAACATCCTTGGTAAACAGAGTGTTGGGCAGAGCTTACACAATTAGCAATTACTCCATGAAAGCCAGGCTGGCCACTGCCCAACTTTTAACTCGGCTTCTATCCTCCCACAAGATTCTGTTTAGAAACTATTTTTACTTTCAAACAATGATACTCACTAGCAACACCCATCCTGCAGGACGTGGGCTGCTCTGACAGCCAGCCCCATTCCTGCTTGCACTGGGAGCAGCAGTGCTCTCTCTTCCAGCAGAATGGGGAAAAGGCAGCACTTCATGTCCTATACATCTTCAGTAGTGAAAGGGAAACAAATTGCCCCTACAGTGCAGCATTGTGAAGCTCTGCCCCGCACAAAAGGCTCCTTACAGCCACTGTGACAATGCGTCCTGCAGGATGGAACGTGAACGTGTTGGAAAGTGCTCAACCCGGGAACAGAGTGAAGCCCCTGAAATCATCCCTGTCCTCAGACTGGATTCAATCTGTGCCTGAGACAAAAAGTGTTTTGCTGATTCTGCTTTATGTCAGCAAGATTATACCTTAATTCCCTTTCAACAGCAAACCTCATTTTGTGACTTGAATGAAAAAATCCAGTCCATAGCGCTCTGCTACTTCCCACAGGGGCTTAGAGCGGCTCTTGAGGGTGGCAAGCGAGTGTTAGCAAAGCAAGTGCTTGCTCTGTGTCAGTGCTGGAGGTCAGAATGGCTGGGAATTTACCCGGAGTTACTTGAAACAACATTAACCACCACTGGTTCCCCAGATCCAGAATTTTGTACCCTCACACTCATTTTAACTGCTTAGAATGTAGCAAATTCTGTTCCACTAGAGCCTCTTTTTGAAAGTAGAACTAAAAGTATCCCGTATCCATAGGAAGTGGCACAGAGAAAGCACAAGCAAAGAACTTGCTTTTGTTTCATAATCCAATTACTTTGGATGCACTGAATCAATGGGACTATTCCAGCCCTGGGAATAAGGACAGCTCGTGTGGGTACGTGCCCTGAATCCCAAGCTCTGCCAATTCATACTGGCATGCCTGAAGAGGTTCCTGCTTCCAGCTCTCAGCCTGCTAGATGCTATCGGGATGGTGGGAGGGGTGCCTGGCTGGGCGGTGCTCCGTCCCAAAGAGCCACAGCTTGCTGTAACAGATTGAGCTGCTAGAGAGTTCAGTTTCCCTGAGCTGCAGTGGCTGAGGGCTTTGATGGATTTTAACTTCAGCAGCTTCCAGTGTTCCTGTCCTTCTATCATTCAGAAGCCCCCAAAAAATCGCAGCCGGAGTCTCCAAGCTGGTCACTGGAGTTAAACTGCTCCACAAAGCCATAAGCCATGCAGATCTGTCAAAATCACTGCTTAAGGCCAGGGTCAGCAGCGTCGACCAGCCAAAATGTATTTATACACACATCCACATGCTTTTCAATGCACTGGAGTCAGATATGTATCAATTCCCAGTATGTGTCTGATTCCTGTATTATAAAATCAAGTGGGTTTTGTCAGCAGTTTGTCAAATCAAACACTGATGGTTTTTCACCCCAAGCAGAGCAGGAGCAAAGCAGTGCTGTGAGAAAAATGTGTGATTTATTGTTATAAAGGATGTTGCTCTGAAGAATATTTATGATTTAAATGAGATCATGTGTTGTTTTTTTTTTCCCCCTCGGTAATGGAATAATAAGAAAGTTTTGAATGGATCCAATTCTAGTTATTGTGAATACCCATCTTGACTTTCTTTGTGGTATTCAAAATGGTGAATTATGGGTCTGATTTAGAAGAATAACATGAGCTATTCTGGGACCATAGTCTCCAAATTCTCCCCCTTTGGGTGTAAAGCAGGCAAAGTGTCTGGATCTGCTGAATAATAAGTTGATGCCAGTAGATAACTGTTGGGAACTATTTTGACTGCAGCCAACAAATATATCTCATCACTATGGCTGCAAAAACAAACACCCACCAAAGAACTGTATCCGACACAGAGAAAAGAATGAAGGGAAACAGAATAATTTGCAGGCTGGATTAAATTCTTCATGTTCCCTCACACAAATCAGTAGTTAAAATGGGGTGAACTCTGATTCTGGTGCAGATACACTGCTGGAGATCCTGCCACTCTGACAGCAGCAATCGAACATTGCTTTAATACAGAAACATGCCTTCTATTCAAAAATATTCCATCCCATAATTTTGATTATGGAACAGGTTTGAAATCAAGGGTATGATTTTGCTTTTAAGTGTTGAGTTCAAATTGATTTTTTTTAATGTTTTCTTTTCTTGCCCTTCTGTTTTGTTTGTAGCTACAGGAAACAGAACTTCCCCAATGTTCTCTTAAGAATTCTGCCTATTTACGTGGAATGGGACCAATCTATACTTAAGCAAATATTCCAGTACTAGCAAAAATGTAGTTTCCTGTAGTTTCCTGTAAAATGCATTCATATATTTTAATTCCAAATGCTTGTAATTACGAAAAAAAAAGAAAAAAGAAAAAGGAAAAAAAAAGAGTTCTTCATCCAGGGCTATATCAATAAAAGGAATATGTAAGGCAGCATATGCCTTAGTAAGGGGGGGGGGCAGCTCACACTGGGATTGCTGCTGCCCTTCCTCACTGATGTGCCATTTATCCACTTATGAAGCAGCTGCTGAAACATCAGCATTTACAGCCAGATTGAACATGAGTTTGGCGCTGTTTGGTCTGAGCACAGTTGGTTGTAAATAGCCGTTCAGCATCCTTTCTACCAGGACCTGAGCAGCAGGGAAAACCTGGAGAGAGGAGGGGCCAGAAGAAGAAACAGGGAACCTATCCCAAAATAAGCCTGCAGATTTCACAGGTTCGTGCTGTAAGAGGAAGATGATAACGATCAAAACAAACAAGAAAGCTAAAACTCCAGCTTAGAGCCTCAGTTCTCCAAACTCTTACCGATGCTTTTCTGCTCAGGGAAGCCCTGCTCACTTTGCTGGGAGTTATTCCTGAAGACAAGCTGTACCAGCAGTCATGCCTTTCCTGCTCTTTCTCTGGAAAGATCCAGTTCCCTGTAATATTCTGAATCACAGCACACAGCCACGGGACATGCATCCCATCCTCTGCTGAGATGTAATGATGAAATACATATAAAACTTCAAAATAATGGATAAATTCTTCCTTCAGAATAATGTGAGTATTCCTTTGTCATACCCTGTCATTTCTTTATAGAAAGAGGTTCAGGAAAAATGAAAGATGTGAATCCCTATCATTAGGAGAGCTGACTGCAATAAATGTGCTTGATAATGTGCTTACTATTCCAGACCATATGCCATCCAAAGAAAAGCACTGTCTTCCAGAGCTTGCACTCAAACCAATGAAATGTGTGTGCTTACAGTGGTACAGCAGAACTAAATAATACACCAATGCACTTACAAAATCTTTCTGACAACAGCTTTTTAAACATTAAAGGTAGAGTTTTGTATTTATATTGCAGTTTATGGATAGCCATAAACATTACAGAAAACATTTCCTAGCTGTGAAAGGACTGAGGATCTAAATCTACCTCACCTCTTTTAATTTATTTTGCACCATAAATGATGTTGAAATATACTGAATTTAACAACTTTCAAATCATTTCTGTACTTTGCTTGTGTATTTTAGAAAAGTAAATCGTATAAATGCACTTCCCCCCAGTCAGAACTAAGCGTGACATCATATAAAGGGAATGTACACAACCCCAAAAGTGTCCTGCTGGTTTGTGTTAGCTTCCCTGGTCAGATCCATCCTACGTAGCTCTAGTTAAGCTTTACCAGTTTGAAAATAGAGATATCTGTTTGAACAAAGAGGGAACAAAGGGTTCACTGCGGGGAGAAGCTTCCCTGCACCCAGCAAACATGGAGCAAAGCTGATAGGAACATTTCAAAGGTGAGTGCACACAAATTGATCCATGGTCTTTTGGTAGAAATTTAACCTCTCCTCCTCAAAACTGCCATGCTCAGGAAAAGAAAGAGAAGAGAGATGAAAATTCTTACAGAGAGCTTTAATTTTTTTTCTCCTTCATCCAGATAAATATTCACATATTTCCCTGAACAGATGGGTAAAATGACCTGGAAGTTAAGGAGAAGGCAAGTCCTTAGGCAGTGAGGGGAACAGAAATGTTACCACATGTTTAAAGCAAATGGCACATCATGGTGGGTCAGGCTGAGTAATGGAGGCCTTCCTCAAAGTTTGTTTCTTGGGGTCTTTGCTGGGGTTTTTCACTGAGGTGAGCGATGAAAACACGTATTTCTTCTTCTTAGTTGAAAGAAGTTCATATTTGAAAATGGGCTTAAGAATAACTCTGAGAAGACAACACCACTATAATGCACACTCATTTCATGTGCATATTTCTTATCTCTACGTTAGCCAGTTAAACTGAGCTGATGCCCAGTTGTTGGTGGCAATACAGGCAGCAGTATCATTGTAGTTAATCAATGGCTTCTTAGAAAATTGAGGTGCTAATTAAGATAAGAGAACAGGAAAAAAAAAAAAGAAAAACAAACCACTTGCATTTGAACTGTGTATTTACTGAAAGATCACAGCCCACTAGTAGGAGGTATATTGAGCAGATGAGTTGGCAGAGCCACACAGACAGCTGGTTTTGTCTGGCATACAGGTGTTTAACTTGGCTGCTTACAGATGAGCCGCTTCATGCCAGAATCAGTGAGGGATCACCTTGTTTAAGAAAAGGTAGCTCTTGTCCATCCTCATAGCAAGTTCAGTGAATGAGCCAAAGTGGCTATTTCATTTCCTCCCCACTCATTTCTGACATGGTTCAAAAACCCCACTCTTCTTTTGCAAGAGTTGAGTTTAGATGAGAGAAAAAATAGTCACTGTAGGTATCGGATTGTGGTTTTGCCTTTTCTCATGGTAGGTGTAGCAAGAACACACGTTGCTGGTGCTCAGTAATCATTTTTTGGCTCACAAGCTGTTGTTAATATTTTGTTATTCTTCAGAAGATGGCTGGATCATTTTCAGTAGATAGCTGAGCTCTGTGTGCCTTTATTTGAAAGAATGTTTTTCAGTAGTTCCAAGATGAGATAGTATTTGAATGTAAGTATGTTGGGATTCAGTCTGAAACTTTTGGGTTTTGTCCAAAACTTAAGAGCACAGAAATAGCTGTATAACATCAGCAAAGACAGTCTGCTGTTTTTTAAATTGTAGTGAGACATAAAGCAAATGTGCTTTATATGCTGTTGATAGGTGCCATCTGAGAATCTCCAATAGCAGTTTTAGATACACATGGTTAATGAAATGCTCTCTATCGGAATTCAGATCGTCAAATCCAAACTTGGTGTAAATAGGTTAAAGAAACTTGCCCAGAACATAATATTGTCATTGGTGTACTTTTCCTTTTTATAGTCTGTGTGTTTGCAGCTCTAGTGATCTGAAATGGCTGTTGAAGCCAAAGTTCTCCTGTCTGGTATTCCAGCCTAATGCCCTGTCAACAGCACTCACTTGATGCCTTTTACGGCGCCTGTCTTTCCTGTATGGAATCAGTTTTGTGAGGAAGAGATGGAGCAACCTGACTTGAATTCAGATTTGTGACTACCATAAAAAAATTATAGTGAAATTTTAATAAACTTTTTCATTATTATTTTTACCCATTATGTTTAGAACTTAATATTCTGCTCTTGCTCTTCTTTTCACTTTAAGTAATAAACACTCAAAATGCTGTTAAAATGCTCTTCCTGATATGGTGCTCTGTGAATGCAAGTTGTGCGGTCAATTTCCTGAACAGTGATTTTAAGATGTTAATTCCTATCCCTGGAATACAGTTGATCTGAAGAGCTTGTTACAGGCACCTGTATTTTGTGTTAAAGATGCCCATGCTATGAAGGTGTCAGCTTTTTTTAGCAACAATTTTTGTTAGCATGTTATTGCAGCAGAAACTATATTCAGTTAACAGGTAGCCCCTAATATAGAAATATTTGTATTTTTGTGCACATTAATAAATGCATAAGTAAACATTCTGTATAGACATAGAATGTTAATTCTGCAGTAGAGTTACCAGACATTACAACTTACAATAAAACTACTGGACCACAGTGACAGCCATTCTCTGTTTCCAAGTGTACATGTGTTTTTGTTAAGGAAGGTGTCAGATAAGTGCAGAAAAAGGAATGTGTTTATATTTGGGATGAGCAGTCCTGTTATGCTATTTCCAAGTCTGCGTTAACGCTGCATGTTTTCATTACGTTCCAGAGATGGCAAAAAAAAAAAAAAAAAAAAAAAAAAGGAAAAAAAATCAATGAAATTGCAGACAAAGCCAAGTAAGAGAGGGATAAAAAATGAATCAAGAGAAGCCTGTGTGTAAAGAAGCGAAGTGGGAAAATGAGTATTTTAATCCAAGTAAGTGTCTATGCCAGTATAGTTTTTAGAGGCTGCTCTGTTTCAATGAAAGTTCAGTTAGTAGAAAACCAGCGTTATTAAAAGTACGAAAAGGGAGTTGCTCTTTGAAAGAAATACGAACTTAACTGATGGAAGAAACAGGTCCATGAACCGTAGCAAGTTTTACGAACACTAAATATAGTTCAAGAGATTTGAATTGCTCTTTTAACTCTTGCAAATCTTGGTGTCTGCTGTATGTTTGTGAATTCCTGACAGTTCTCCAAATGTAAAATGTGTAACGCGGTGGATTGGTCCTAAAGCTGCAATGCTGGGTTTTGTTGTTGTTTCTTACTCCTTTTGAGGTGTTCTGCACTCTCGTATTCCTTTCCATACGATATGGAAAGCCCTACCTCTTAATGATGTCTCAAGAAACGAGGCATCTTTTGATGCCACAGTCCAGTAGCATCATCCTATTCAGCAATGACACATCTGGGGCATTTCAGCGTCTGCCATTATAACAGACATGCAGCTTTAGATGAAACACAATGGGTTGGTTGTGTTTTAGACATCCCCAGTGCTTTGAGTTAATCAGTGTGCTTATACGATATGCTTGGATACAGTGATGCTGTAACTGCTTTTTTATAGGTGTGGTAGGTGTGAAGCTATAAGGTAGGAGCCTATGAATCCAGACCAGTCATTGGAATACCATATGGAGCCTGGCAATGATATTGCACAAATTAGTGCTTTTGTACTGATGTATTGATTTTTATTTAGAAATTTGGAAAAATGACTGAGTGGCTCTGAATTAAGGATCTTCCAGCTAAGCCGTGCTGAGGGACTTAGGGCAGGGGCTCAAATGAATCAAGGGGTAATTGCCATGTGAAGACAAATTGTCAAATGATCAGTACCTTCCTTTCATAGATGGCCATGAAGACTTATCTCAGTGAAGCCCCTCAGAAGTCCAGCATGTTGGTAAGGCATTGGCACAAGCTGCCCAGATGGTGGTCCCTGGAGGTATTCAAGAACCATGGGGATGTGGCACTGAGGGGCATGGTTAATGGGCATGGTGGAGGTGGGCTGATGGTTGGACTGAATAATCTTTGTAGTCTTTTCAAGCCTCAATGATTTTATGATTCTAAAATGAACCTCTGAGAGGGCAAGGAGACCAGCTCCCCCGCAGCCCAGCACCTTCAAGAGTCTGCCCCAGCCAGAGCTTGTGCTTATTCTGAGGTAAATCATAAAAGTTTGCTTCTGAACAGTCATTCTGTTGAGTGTGACTAAATCAGCTTTTGCAATCACGTCAGTTCACAAGCTGACAGCTTAACTTAAAACACAGAGTACAAGCTCCACTGTCCTCAGTGCCGTGAGACTGCCCTGAAGACATGGAGCCTGCTCCAGCCCTCCCTCCCCAGGGAACCACAGCTCCCCACAGACCCCTGGTTGGTGGCTGAGTGCCACAAGTTACACTTCTGAATGTGTCATTACTGCTGTGTTACTGCAGTGACTGATTTATTATGCAAGTCTGCGGTTATACTGTAATCAAAAATCCGTGTGGCTTAAGGGAGAGGGGATAGGATAACCAACGTTAGCAGGGAGTGGGTTTGGACTCTGTAGGTGTTGAGTTGTCACCAGAAATATTTAGCTTCCCTTTAATATACTGCACAGTGCATTACCTTCTTCTGAATTAAAAAAAAAGCAAACCCTGATAACGAATTAAAAGACCTTGTCATATATTAAAGAAACTTAAAAGACTGAAAACAGGGGGAACAAAGGGGTAGTCAATATAGAATGTGATATCTCAAACAAGAGCCAAGTTAAGAAATGATTGGGTGTTTACTGGCCAAAGAAAACAAATCTCTGTTAGGCCTACCCTGCCCTCCTAAGGCTCATATACCAACATATGGGAGCTCTATGGTGGAAGTTTACATTTAATTCTGTTTTATTTTACTTGGCAATTGTATTCCTTCAACATTATTGTTTTTCAGCACTCAGTATTTTTAATGCTGCATCTCAACAGAAGATATAAGAGCACAGTCAATCAGTCCTGCAAAAAAATTTTAAAAAATTTAAATATATATATATATATATGTATATATATATATATAAATGTCCCTGTCATGACATGAAGCATAATTTCCAGGGAATGACCTAGAGGAAAATCTTCATTTTAGCCATGAAGAACCAATTTCATGCCTCTGCAGTAGATATATGAGAAATGTACCAAATATCAGTCATTAGCAGACTGCTACAACTATGATCCCCATTCTTGATTTTGAATCTATTGACAAATGAACTTGTGCTAATACTGCATTTTTGTCATTGTACACGTGTTTGCCACCCAGTGTTCTGGGCCAGCATTAAGACAGATGTGGTACTGAGGACCAAAGACTGACTTTACCTAAAGGAAGGGATGCTGACAGAAGGTGAGGAGGAGCACGTTTTTACCAAAAGGCTGAACTCCCATCGGTTCAGGATTCTTTGTTCATACCTCATCATATAGAAAGATGTCAAAAATGGCAGAAACTACAGATGATGGTCAGTGGAGTCAATGATAAATTGCAGGAAGAATTGAAGTGTCTAGAGAAAATCCAGGAGCATCGAGAATGTTACTGTTTCGGGAGATCTAACACTGAACATCAATGTGTCCAGTGCCCAACCTGTTGGAATAAAACAGAAGTGTCAGGGAAGAGTAAGAAGAGTAGGAATATATGATATTTCTGTCATGTAGACTCCTGTGTTCCAGCTATTTTTAGTTTATGGAATTTCCTGAATTTCTTGATATTTGTCTGTATAGCAGCCACTAAGGATCACTTTTCCATGTCCTTATTCAGATTTGTTACAAACATGCATAAATTTCTTGCATCTATTGTATCCATTTTTCAGTTTTACTATTACCTGTGGCATGCAGAAAATCTACACTGGTTTGAACCTGGCTCTCTGTATCTTCGTCTGTTTGTGTCTGGTTCTTGTGCTGAAAGAAGCAGCAGTCTTTAAGCCCTTTATGTCTTTAAGAATTTTGCAGCCTTCCCCTCTTTATCCAGCATGAAGATTCTGAGCCCACCTAATAATTTTTTTGTATGAAAGCTCTTCTGAACTTTAATCATCTTTGTTACCTTTCTCAGAACTATTGCCTGATCTTATGATGAGGGCATGGGAACTGCACACATGCCCTCACGTAGGGTGTGGGTTAGTAGTGGATTTATATGGTGGCAAGAAGATTTCCTGTTTTGTTCTCTATTCAGTCCTGATTCCTCTTTCTTATGCTTTTTAAAGTATATTTATTCTAAGAGATGTGTTATGGGTTTTCCAAAGAATTAAGTGAGAAAAGCAGTGAGTATTTTGGACCTAATTTGAATGGGTCAGCACAATAAGACATAGATATCCTGATTCCATGTGTTCTTCAGAAGTCACGCAGCTTTCCTTCCATGGTGTATAATTAGAACCATGGGTCCAGGTTTTGAACAGACATCTCTGAGTTATACATGCTTCCAACATCTGTACAAATCTCTTATCAAAACACTCATGCTTCTCAGCTGAATCTGCTTCTCCCTTAAAGGAACGTCGTATACAATAGGAACTTCTAAAATTACATCATTTGGACTGTAGGCATTATGCTTGAGAAACCTTTGTGCTTAATACTGGCCAACCTGTGGCTTATGTAGCACTCTTTAAACTCCCTCATGTCATGAGCAAAACAAACCACCACTTTATTTCTTTCAACGTGTCTATTAAATTCCACAGGATATTTGGGAATAGGAAAACAATCTATTATTCTAATCAACTCTGTAGGTTTTCTTCCATAATCTCTTTGCTGCTTCTTGGCCCTCTTGGTGAAATCATGTCTATTATCACTTCCTACATCGTCTTACACTCTTTTTTCTTGTGTCTGTTTCTCCCAGACAAACCTCAATTTTATTATTTTGTTTGGTTAAATTATATTGTCTTCGCTGCAGTCATTTCTTTAGAGCATTCAAGTTGGGTTTACGTAGAGATATTATTTAAGAATAAAAGTTTAGAGTGAGGAGCTGGGAAAGATAATTTCCTAAATTTCCTCAGTAAATCACAGTTTTGACTAGACCTAGGCCAACTCTGACCAAGACAATTTAGAACTGATTTGGGGTATGTCTACGTTATTCTAAGAAAGCTGCTGTAAGTGTATACTTGGATGGGTTTTCTGTAGGTCTTTGCAAGTCTGCACTCCGTTTTATGGCGTTCACATTTCTTCAGTTGTGAAAACAGAAGAACATGATCTAGTATTTACCTTACTCCTTCACATGCCAAACATCTTAAACTGAAATAATCTCTGTATTGTAATGACTCATTCAGTCAGAGAAACTTAATGTACTTCATTCACACGAATGTTTTAACCATCATAACACTTCTGTGAACTAGTGGGGTGTTACTGACCACTGCTGGATGTTGGCCATCCTGCCAGTGTCGCCTAGGAAATTTGGCACATTTGGCAGCGCATCTTCGGAATCTCACCTTTCAGTTTCATCTGCACATTAGAAGTACTGTTCCAAAATGAAAATAAAAGGATGCTTCACTAAGAGTCAGCTCTGGCAGGAACACATACTACAGCACTGAACTCATCGTGCTAGTGAATGCCGTGCTCCAGCAGTTTATTTAATAGTGGTGGTATTTATAGAAAGCTCCCTCCCGTGATCTTACTGCCAGTAACACAGATGTCCCTTGAATGCACTCTACTTTAAATAAAGGTGAAAGGCTAAGGAAAATATAAAAAGAACCCACCTTTCATATTTTACTCGAACAATAACAAGCAGGGTGTGGCCACTCCGAAACTGCGGTTTGACGGATGCTTGGGAGAAGGGAAGGGTGGGAAATCTCTCTGCTCACCAGTTCCACAGTCTTGTTAGCAAAAACACATCTGACACCCGTGATTGTGGCCTGGGAGATACAGTGAGAACAAGCAGTGCTCTCAGTTACTGCAGTGAATAAAGTGTCCTGCCAGTGCTTGGAACGTAACCGTGGAATAAGCATTTTTAGGGCTGTTAATGCGAATAATGTTTGCAGAAAATGCCCTTTCCAGTTTGAGAGTGGTACGATAGCGAATGAAACCCACAGGAATACGGGTAGGTCAGAGATGGGAAAAAGTATCTTTTACTCATGGATGAGAGTTCTCCTTGGGATACCATGAAGTTTTCAGAGGGTCTTGTTTGTTTAATTAAAAGTAATGGCCTGAAGTTTCTGTGAGCCAAAATGTTAAGCCTTAAGTAATATGTATTTACCTGAAATCAACTTAGTGGAAGCTAGCGGTATCCTCAGCCTGAAAGAAAAATAAAAAAGCACATTTAGGTCCACCCAGCATAGACTTCCAGTAACCCACAATCACCCAGAACTCATTCTCCAACATATGATGTCACCTGGAACTTGCACTCCGTTTTCTGAATTCTCCTTTTATTGGGGTTTATTCATTTAGTTCTGATTCAAGAGGAGTCAGAGCCTAAGGAAGAGTTCTAGTGACTATAGTCACAGCCAACGTGCTTGGCTGTACCAGAAGACTCCAGCAAATATCTTCCACTGTATCTTATCTAACTGTGAAAAATTTCATTCTGAGAAAAGGGAGTATTTTTCAGTGTACAGCATAGTTGAGTACCTGCCGTAAAGCAGATTTCTCATGTCTCCAAAAATGATACAAGCAGGTTGCAGTGAGCCTAGCATCGAGACAGATTTTGTCTGGGCTCATTCAGCACATGGAAAAAATATTTCATCTCATTTCTTCACAAGCTGACACCACAAAGCCGTTCCATTTATTTTTTCCTGACATGTTGTTGTGTTGTTCAATACTGTTTTTCATTTCCCCTGACTTTGGAACAAACTGGTAGGGCTGAGTGAAACTCTGATATTTCCACACTTACAAGGAAAAATGAGATCATAAAATACAAAGCTAACATCCAAATAATGATTGGGGTCCCTGTACAGTTAGCTGGATGCTGTGCAGCTATTTCTTTTGCTATCTGTGCATGGGCACTACTTAAAAAAAGAAAAAAAAAAACTACCCTACAACAAATTTTCACCTAATCTTGGGCTGTCAACTCGAGAAAATTAGCAATCCTGAAAGGCACAAATAACACAACTTCCCCATCTGTGTCCTTGTAGCTCACAGCTGCTCTGGGATGAATGTTAAGCACACAGGTAAAAGAAAATGGAGCACATTGGAGTCTTAGAGAAGGACTGAGCTTTACTGCATAAGAATAAATCTCTTGTGGAGTTCCATATTAGTTGAACTATGAAGGTGAATGTAGAACCAGCTGCATTTAAAAGGTATTGAAAAAGTACATAAAACATGACTCACTGCCATTTTCTTTTGTCTCTTCAATCCATTGTGGGTAAGAATCAAGCAAATACTTTTTACACTGACCCAGCAGCAAATGTTTGTTTGTCAGTTTGTTCCAAACAGCAGCTGAGGAGAGAAGCGGAGACACATCTGACCAAAAAATCAAGGATGGAAAGTTCAGAGAATGCAACGAAGACAGAGGTCCCTTGTAAAATGAGAGCAGGAAAAACTGCTAACAGAAACAAGTCCATCATCAGTGTGGAGCCACCACTCCCCTTTCCAGTGGAGTCTACTTCAGCTCTGAAGCTGGGTAAGTCATCAAATCACTTTTACCCATCTCTGGCCTTTTGCCTCTGTTGATTCTTTAGGCTGAAGGCTCCTCAGAGGTGGCAGCCTGTCCTTGCAGCCCCAGGCTCCGTGCTGCCTGGTTGGAGATGTACCGCCTGTTCGTTACTGTCTGGCAAACACTGCAACACAGTCCATAAATAATATTGTTTTACAACAGCCCTTTTCTTCAGATCCCAAGAAAAAGACATAACATATTGTGTTATAGGAACAGCTCTCATCTGGTAATATTAAAGATTACCCAAACTACTCTCTGGTTCCCCCAGAAGTCAGATGAAGTTGTAAAATCCCTTTCAGCAAGTTGGTGTGATTCTAACCTGAGTTTTGGCCTGAGCTTGAAAGAGTTTCTTCTGAAGAGAGTTCCTTTGAAAAATTAAGGTGTGAAATGTGTGTCTCAGAATGATCATGAAGTTTTCAGGTTTTCAGGTCTTATTCCCATATTTGCCAGTACCTTTTGGCTTGCCTTTCTAGCTTAAAATGGCAATTTTAAAAAGGGGGAAGAAAGAATCTGCTATTGAAAGTATATTAATGCAAAGTGATTTTTTGTATGTGCACATAATATATATATTATATTATAATATATATATTATATTATTATATTATTATTATATAATATTATATTATAATATAATATTATATATATAAAATAACAGCAATGACTCTGTGACCTGTCCAAGCTCAGGGAGCTGTTTCTGTCAAATACTTGTGGTATGACTGGACACACGCTCAAATGAAGATCTTTGTTTAGTAAATACTGAATATTCCCTAGTCCTTTATATCCTGTCGTCATTTCCTTTGTACAGCTCACAGCTGTAGTTTCAAGCCAATGTGCAGTTACTTGGTCAGAGAGTTTCATAAGTGCAGTTAACCATGTAACAGAGATCTTTTCTGATGGTTTTCCTCTCAAAGTTCTTGGAGTTCTGCAGGCTTATCCAAAGGCTGCATACCAACATCTTCTGTGTAAAACTTGTAATTAGTAGATTTGTTCACTGTCCATTTAATTATGAACGTACTGTAATGCAAACACAGATATACGTTTATATGTATAAGAATAGGGAAGTTGGTTGCCGTGTCGTCATGTTTTGTGGTTTTGGAAAACCACAGGGTGTAGGGTGGAGATAGCCATTGTACTACATTAGCTATTTTCTCACAGTTTTAAGGAGCAGCAGCTCAACACACTGTGGTCCAGACAACAAAATATCCAACAAAGCAAATCTTTCTGTAGGTGCATCTGAAGAGAGGTGGGAAGAAGTGGATGCTGGCTGGTTCATGAGTGCTCTGTGAAGTCAGCAGAAACAGGAATAGGGAAAGGGGAAAACTGTGTCATGGTGGAGCCTCATGATAAGGAACATACACTGAGGGCAGGAGGACTGCTCATGCTGGGTCTTCACCATGATTAATGACTGTCTACATGTGGGCTTTCAGTGGCAAGATGGAAACCAGCAATATTGGCAGGTTTGAGTCATGGACAAGGCAGACTGGTTTCAGATTGAAATTTTCCCTCTTTTTTTTTTCCTCGCATTGAAATGGAAATCATCACTGTGGGTATTTTCCTTTGTATTGTTCTCTTCCTGTATGATTCCACTGTCTGAATGCACAAGTGATTAACACCAAGCTAGAGTTAATTAATCAAATAATAAACATTTGCGAAGGGGATGCGGCCCCTCTCAGCTCTCACTCCGTGGAAGCTCTGATGATGGGCTTTGGCTGTTCAGGGCAGGAGAGAAGCTTGGGAGGTGCACAGCAGGAAATGAGAGAAAACCACGAGCCTCCTGCAAATATGGCAGTAAGCAGCTCTTAAACGGCAATGTGATTCAGCTCTGTGACTAAGAGGTGGAAGGCAAGCCATTGTTTTTCCCCTTTCCTACCATGTACAATTTATATCCAAAGCCACACTGTGAAACCTGCAAATTTTGGAAATACTCAAACCCAGCAGCTCCTGGGAATTATTCTATAAGTGATATCAGAGGACAGAACAATAAAGTCCCATGGCCATGGGCAGCAGCAGGTCACTCAGTGCTCCTGCACTAACAGCTGAGACCCAGAACTGCTCACATCAAGGCAGTGATCCTCCCAGAAATGCTTTCTCCAGAGTTAAGACAATGGAACAGCACAAGCTTTCAGGAGCATGGAAGTCAGAGCATTGGTCTGAAGTAGAAATGATTCTGTTGATGGGGTACCAGAAGAAACATGACAAATGATATTATCACACTGATAAATCTGTGGTGTCCAGAATACCAAACTGATGATTAGCTCATTCAGTCTCAAATTAACCTCATTAGATTTTGTAAATGCAAAACCTCTTTTGAAAAATGACTTCAAAACTGAACCTTACTCCTGAGAAACGGCTGGAATTTGACCTCTTTCTAACAGCTTTAATTTTTCCCCTTTTACTTTAATGTATTATTATGTCGCCAATAAATACAATGAGCGGTGTCTTCTGCCAAAATACTTCATAACATATTATCTGTCTTCCAGAGGGAATGGGGAGGGGAGTTCTGTTTGCTCAAAAATTAAGGGAATTAAAAAACAGAGGTTACACAGAACATGTATTTCATGATTAGACAGCCTCAGATGCCATGAGAACAATTAAGGATGTTTTTTTTTATTGGACTTTCATGCAAAAATGGTTCTTGCCAGTTCATTTACACCACTAATTATCTTGCATAAATAAAAGCGCTCCATGAAGGCTCAGATCCTGGATCACAGTCACACCTGCCCATAGGAATTTTAACACAGCATTCCCCAGGTGCTGCAATTGGGTCAGCAGCTCCACCACAGGTCTCATGTGGAAGCTGGGCAGCTTCAGCACAGCTGGCAGCAGACACCTCCCAGGGCATAGGTAGGGAACGTGTGTTTATGATCTCCAGGCAGACTATGGAGCAGGAGCAGTTCTGTTTAATGGCTTTTCTGCAGCACAGTTCCCTATGGCTGGAAGCGAGGACAGGTGAGTCAGCAGTCTGTGTCCTTAAGGTGTGGGAATCCTACCATGCAATTTGGGCAGCAAAATTGTAGAACATTTGCATTCAGCTTCACAATATGTGGTGGTGAAAATACTCCACTGCCATTTCCAGAATGAAATCTTGTCAGAGCAGCAAGGATAGCTCTAACAGCATGGATTTGGGGGGAATACTTTCTCTTTTGTTTCTGGAAACTGAGCTCTTTATCTGGCTCTCCCACCTGCTCCAGCTGCACTCTCAGGATTGTATTTAGTTTGCAAGGTTCAAGGTTAGCCTGACGTTGGGCTCAGACCATGGCCAAGAACTGTAAACATGGGAAAGGCTTGTGGTATGCACCCACTGGGGATATGCCATATGGTGCTCTTCCTCCTCCCCTTCCTTTCTAGTGAAAGGCCACTGATGTTTTTGCAATGAACCCTCTAGGAGAGAACACGTAGCACCTAGACAAAACTGCCGCAGAGCAGGGCTGGAGTTCAGATGGGAGTTTGTTCCTTGTCTGAAACCTTTAATCATACAACTCATGTATGGGGACTGGTGTTCGTGAAATCAGTTTCTGCTCATCTCAGTGCTTGCGGTAGGGTATGTCTGCACTGCTTAGTGGAGATACCTGTTCTGGCTCCAAGCAAGTTAGCACATAGTACAGACACCTGTGTCACTGCAGTGCCCTCAGTCCTGTTCTCCACCATATCCAGCTAACTACTACCTTGTATGGGCTCTGAAAAGGGCAATAGATAAAATAGATAAATCAAATTTAAAGTGTAAACTCACAAAAGGCTAATTTTTGTGTAAACCTTCCACAAATTCAGCTAGAGCTGTATTGCAGTGCACAATTTCCATAGCCAGTAGCTTACATAGGTGACGTGATTCCATCACCATGTCTCCATGCAGCATGTGACTGGCTGGAAGGCACCCCACACATCTGAGTTTTCCCTTGAAGTACTGGGCACTATCAGTGCATTCTGAAGGTTTAAACCTGGTTTGCTATTTTTGATTTGGTTTCTCTTGCCTGAAAATTCCCTTTGTAAAAGCAGTGCCTGCTCTTACATCCTTTCCTGCTTCCCAGATATAGTGGGGTCTCATAGGCCATACACTGCTCCCAGTTCTCCCCATCCATTGCATTGTACCTTTTGCCACCCTGGTGCACGTAGAAAGAAGGCAGAGAAATGTGTTAAACTGGCTTTGTTTTGTACGCCTTTTCTCCAGCAGAGAGGAAAAAAATGTGTACACGTACTGGAGCACGCAGGACAGAAAATGAGCAGCGTGTCAGGTTAAAGCAATTACAGCTCTGGGTTGTAAGGGCGACGTGTTAACGGGGCTTCTCAGACAAGTGATTTGGCCTCTTGGCTGCTCATGGGGATGCTGGGTGGTATCATGATAGAGTTTTCACATGGCCAGAGCTTCATTACATCATTTGTTAGTATATAGTATATCACAAGGGAATTTTGCTTTATTTAATATAGTAACAATGAACAGCTGGCTGCTTTACAGTTCTTTATATCAGCAAGGACACAGTCAAAATATATCAGTCTCGTTTAAAACACTCAAATCACGTTTTTGTAGGCTGGCCAGTATACACTGTGAATGAGCAAAACAAGGAAAAGACAATTCAATAACGAAGATAAAATGTCAAATATAATGAGAGCCTGAGCACCGTGCAGAATAAATGCTGGCATGAAAGGTGTTAGAGGGATTTAACCTACTTAAGGAACATAGATTAAACAGGTTTCTTGTTTCTGAGACTTGCAGGACTCTAAGGCAGGAGTTACATATGATATGCTGTTTGTATCATGATTCTGATAAAAAATAATGATCTGACTTGCCTGAAAATTCCAGTGTTAAAAATGTCAGCTGTTAGCTCCTTTTGTGTCTCTGTGAGCTTAGTGGGGACATCTGATCATTCCTGACTACTGGCATTGTTCTGTTAGGGCAGTGTGTGAATCACATCCTCCCCTTCCCTACCAGCCATGTCATCAGTGCTGCTGCAGAGGACACTCGACCTTCTCTGCCAACCTGGATATGCATACTACTATGCACAGAAAGCATATACCATCTGTACTCTGGCACTGTGTGTTCTATCACAGGAGCTAGCACGCAGTTACATCCTCTGTAATGGCTATTAGACTGCTATGTCAGCCTCTTCTTTCTCACCGATTCCAGTCTGACCTACATCGAGTCTCCTAATTTTTCTGAACCTCTGCTGAACAAGAAGAGAGTTAGGCCTAAGTGTCACTTATTTGTGTGTTTTGACAGATGGAGAGTTCTGTAATCCATTCCACAGCACAAAATCTTATTGTCATGGGATTTTCAGTGAAGTTTGCTGAAGTATATACAATATTAGAGGTTAATAATGGGAAGAAGAGGACTTGGATGTCAATTCTTGTCAGTCCATAGTGTTACAAACAGACCTTTCCAGAGCACTTTGTGAATGCTGGTTTCCACGCTGGAAACAGCCGAAAGGGTAATACTACTGTTAGCTTTTCCTACCAGTAGGCACAAGTAGATGTATTCAGCATGTCCACCCTCCTCCTACCTGGTCTCTTTGGGCATTAAATACTTGCACTGCTTCCTCAGAGCACCCCAGCTCACCTACTATTCTGCTTTGTGGATAGATGGTCGGAACTGATTCACTTACCAACCACTGAATGAACTACTGACACTGGGATCTTGTTAATTAAATGTAACCTAGTCACACCCAAATGGCAATAATAGCTTTGGAGTGTCACCTTCAAAGAAGGTTTTCAACAAGATGGACCAATTTAAGGTCATAAAATTAGAAAAAGATAAGGAATTATATTTTGCAGGTTTGTTTTGTTTTGTTGTTTGTTTGTTTACTTTAGAAAGCAGTTTTATGATCTGTCAAAGACACAGAGGGGGAAACATTGCCCTCAGCCCCAATTGAAGTGGATCAAAACCCATGCAGGGCCTGTGAAACAAACAGAGAGAGTGGTGATGTCCCACATCTTACAGCCATTCAGGGGGAAAGTGATGACTGAAGTTTGTAGGAGTGGATGAAAACTTCCCAGGGCACGGACTCCCTGTTGCTTTGGTCCCAAAGTGACAAATTGCTTTGGAAGCAATGAAATGCAAATGTCCTGCTTGCCTGCAGCAAGGAAACACCTTCCTGCCTTTCAAGCAAGAGAAATTGAAACGCAAACTGCTGCTCTTACGCATGATTCCTAGCAGAAAGCAGCTGAAATGGTTTATTTAGCTCACACAGGTGTGTTTGGAGCCTGTGTGAAGGAAGGTGCCTTCTACCTGTGGCTTCCCAGCGTTGGAGGGAGACACTGGGGAGGGCATGTGATACGTGCTGAAGGAGGAGGGAGGAAAATGATAAATTCTCAGCCTCTTGATTGAAGCAAGGGAATTAGAGTGAGAGAGATGTAGTACTTCGTATTTGGGTTGAACATTTCAGATGACAAACACACAGAAAACATTACAAATGTAATGAAAGTTTTATTGTCTTCGGAATAATGGAGGGAGACATTTATTATGCTTGCGTGAGGACAAATAATATAATTAAGACTGCATTACAATAACAATTGTGACATTAGCAGTTTTTAAGGTACTTAAACTCTTTGACAAATTTTCCTTTTAAGCTTTCTGGATTGCTGCAGCAGGAGATAAAAAAGTCATATCCACAAGGTTTATTAAGCTTGTTAAAAAAAAAAAAAAAAAAATCTGTTGAAAATTAAATAATCTGCATACTTGATTCCAAGTTGCATCGTTGAACAAAAATAGATTAGGTAGCATCTTAGTAGGATTCAGTTGAAACAGCATTTCATATGTAGAAATTTCTATGTCTCTTTTGTTTGGATAAAGGGCACTTTAAGACAGTTTTCCTAAAATTATGCATCCTAAACATCTCTAAATGTTCCAGCTCTGGAGTATTAGCACGCACATTGCTTGGCAGTTCCTTTTTTAACAATTCCAAAAGCAGTGCCATTATATTAAGGCTTTGATGTAGCATAATACTTAACAAACTTAGTCACTCTTCAGCATTTATTTAAGAGATTTTTTAATTTTATTTTATTTGCCATACAGGCACCGGACACCCAAGGTCAGGCTGGACAGGGCTCTGAGCACCTGACCAGCTGTAGGTGTCCCTGTTCAGTGCAGGGCAGTTGGACTACATGGCCTTCAAGTGTCCCTTCCAACTCCAATGATGAAGTTAAGCATGTGCTTAATTGATGTACTTTATTCACAATTCAATTGATGTATTCAATTGATGTAGTTTATTCACAATGCTCCTGTAAAATCCAGAGCCTTATAGTGGACAATTCAGTCTGGAGCATTTTGGTGCTCAGCGAGAGCTGATGCAGGTGGGCTGTTAGATCTGCTGCAGGATGTGCAGTAGTTGACACCTGCATTGCTAATACTGCATTAAAACTTTTAATAAAACACGCTGTCTTTAGCACTCATGTTCTCATTTCAGCTATTTTCCAGACACCAAAAAGTTGATTTATTTTTTAAAAGAGACATTACAAGTATAAACTGTAGCACATCTTTTTTATTATTTGTATGCGTTGCATGTTTCATTGCGGAATACTGGTATCAAATCTTTACACAGGATATTGAATTCAGTCCTGCTAAGGGAAAACGATCCATCTTCCCTGTGCAGAAAGCATTACGTCATGAAGGGATGGAAACAAAGAGCTCTGAGGGACTAGGATAGGCAAACTTCCCTCCTTTTACAGGAAATGGGTGAAGCCTTGCTTGAAATTATTATTCAGACGTTTTGTGCTGTGAAGGAAATGTCTCCCGATAGCACAAGCTATTGGTTTCCTGTTGTGCACTAACAGTTTTGGCATGCCCAAGAATGGACAGGAAGGGCAAACATTTGGGGGCAGCTGGAGAACTTGTTTTAATGAAAAGAGCAGCCCAAGTAAGTGGGAAGAAGTGTGGCCTGAAAAATATAATTGATAAATTAAAAGGGGGAGGGGGAAGAAAGGGGATCAATTATTGATTGCTTCGGTGTGTTTGTGAAAGTAAATAATACCCACAGAATGGCACATCAGGGTTAGCGGAAAGCAGGGGGCACTGCTGCTGACCAGGAAGTACTGTGGGGGGAAAAGCCCTTTGTATCCAACCTAATTAAGAGCCTGATTCAACGAATATATATCCGGCTTCTATACTGAGGAAAGCGATTTTGGGAAGTTTTCACAGATCCGGGATTGTTTTCAAGCAGGACCTTGTGACAGAGGCACTTTCAAGTGCTGTTTTCCAACCCCGGTGTATAAATAGCACTGCCACCAGGTCCCCAGTCCACCTCAGCGTTGAGCCATCTGTCTGCTGTCTTCCATTGGAAGCAAAAGCAAGCAAAAGGAAAGGGCACAGGTGATGTTTTTCTCTCTCAAGCCTTCTTCTCAGCCTGCTGCAGCAATAGAAAAGAGGTGGCTTCCCTCTGTTATTTCCTGAGGTCACTGGGATCTGTCCCACTATTACCAGTGTGGTGATGTAGTGTCAGGGCTTCCCTCACGTTTGCATCGTTGTCTGAGTCATTTTGGCACTCTCTTGCTCTTGAGGGCACAAAAGAAAACTGGCTGGTGCCTGGTACTTGGTTACAGCCTCAGAGGCTTCCAGAAATCTTTCTCTTCAAAGGGAAGTAGCAGTGGGGCAGGGAGGGAATTGTCCCCATCTGATCTGCTCTTGTGAGGCCCCATCTGTGTCCAGGCCTGGTGGCACAGCTGCCCAGGGAGCTGTGGGTTCTCCATCCCTGGAGGTGCTCAAGGCCAGGTTGGATGGGGCCCTGGGCAGCCTGATTAGTGGGGGCAACCAGCTTGTGGGAGGGGGCTGGAGCTGGGTGATCTTTAAGGTCTCTTCCAACCCAAGCCGTTCTATAATGATACGATTCTTGAAACTTGTGATGCAGACACTGCATTGCAGGGCCAGTGCCCTCCTTTCCTGAAGGCAATGGAGGACACACTGGGGCTCGACACACTGGGGTTCTCCACCCTGAAGCGACACAGCTACAGTTTCTTACCAGATTTAATTTTCAGGACAAAAATTTAAAAAAAAAAAAAAAAAAGAAAGAAATCAAGAAAGAATTCTCTCTTCAGCATTGCAGGCTTCTTTTCAAGATGGTGGCATAAGTTTCATTTTTAAGCCTTCCAAACATTTAAAGGCTACTGCTATAACATATGAAACCTGCATAGAATTTTGTGTTCTATATTTTTGGCAGCAGCTGTTTTTACTGCAATGATCAATTGGATTATATGGAAATTCAAGTTGTAGAAAACAGCCACTTAATTCAGAAAACAAAGCATGAAAAGAGTCAGTCTGTGCCTTGCCGACCCTTGGAAGGCCTTTGGTAAAGTGTTTTTTATGATGCCAAACCCACAACAGTTTGTAAAAATGTGCCTGAATTTCTCTTTGGATTTAATTTAGATAGAATTTTAAAATCCATGTACAACAGTATTTCTGCTTTCTACCCTTACCAAAACACAAACCTCAGTCATGTTTGAATCCCACTTTCTTTTAACATATCCTTTTAAATATTTTTGTTTCCATTTAGGACTGCCAACGTTACCGTGGAAACCCCCAAAAATAAAGACTTTCCCAGCCTTGTGAGAGCACACCTGCAAGAGCAAGAATGACAGTTAGCCTTTTGCCTGTCAAAAGCAAATCTCCTTCATTCTTGATGTCACCTGAGGACATTTTTTACCCTCGGTATGATTTCTTACCTCAACACTTACTGAAAGTATATGTTTAGAATGTACACAGTTTGAAATATTGCCATGGACCAGTAACAAGCATCTGTTGCTGTCCAATAGCTCTCTTCTTAATAGACAACCTCAGTTTCAAGAGGAGAAAGGGCTTTACAGATGGTAGTGCTGAGATTGGAAGTCCTGAAATAACAACATGAAGAACTCACCTCGGTGAGACAAGCAATCGACAGTGAAGTCCCAGTAAGCTGTCTTAATAGAAATCTTTCCAGTGGCTTCAGGAGGATCTGAATTACAAAGAGAACTGAAAGAATTAATCTGCTTCTTCCTGGTAGAGAGGTGCAGCATGGTTAGTGTGCAACCAAAAAACTGGGTACTATGAAAACTCAGCTGTTCAGAACTTTAGACCTTTCAACACTGATAACTGCTGTATATATATATATAACTAAATTTTAAGCAGTCTGATATATCATTTTATAATGGCAACTAATTCTGTGTAGATTTTCATAAAAAGAAAATAGATCATTAAAATGGCTTCACATCTTCTTCTTCTTCTTTTTTTTTTTTTTTTTTTTTTCAACCAGAAAGCAGTTAAGATGGTCGGATTGACTTCAGACAATCTGGCAATATGTAAGTATTATATTTCAATATGATGTTCTTAAATGTCTTAAAATTTAAATAAAAACCCTCAAGCTGGCAAGGTATTTTTAGTTTTTGGAGCCTGCTGTCTTTTTAGGCTGTATGAATTATACATTCTGCTTGTTAAATTGTTAATTTTCTGGTACATGAAGGCTTTTTGTTTGTATGTATTTCTGCAGCATGGTGTCAGATTGACATCAAGTTTGCATCAGAAATGAGCACCACTGGGAAATATAGAGGCTGTTCTTTCTTTTTACTAAAGAAAGGCGTAACATAGAGCCCAAACCTAACTAAAAACTGAACTTCAAATACTACTAAAAATACACCTTTGTGTTATTAATGATAATTCACAAAAATCTCCTATATATTGGTTTGATTGTTTAAGCATACCCAAAAACTTAAATGCACTCTGGTCTCACCTAGGTCTGCTGTTTTAATGTTCAAATTCTGGAGCAGAATTGTTTGCCAACGTGGGCAAACTGCTGAAATGCCAACTGTAACATACACACGTGCTGCATCTTATGTCAAATGACCCTGCTGTAATCAATAGGAACCCTGAGAAATTAGATTCTATTCCACTGGAGTATCAGCCCTCACATCTCAAGGAATATGAAAGAATTAAAGGAAAGAACAAATGCAGACCCCAAGCAAAGTGTTTTCACTGGGGGCTGAGTCTAAAGGGAATGAGATTTAGGCAGAATAGAAACTGTATGTGAAAAATGAGTGTCATGACTCACAGCATCTCAGACTGCAATCTCATCGGAATGTATTTGTTTTGCAGGACTGGAGCTGCCTGTTGTACACATGACAAGCTTTCAGAGAAGAAGCCTGGTGGTTATGAGAGGAGAATCCCACAGAACTGCACAGGTACTGCCAGCAGGAGTGGTCATTCACACAGGACAGCTCACTGCCACTGCTAACAAAATCCCCAGCCCAGTCACTTGTGAATCACTTCTGGCTGAACTTAGCAGCTTTAAGTATGATCAAAGTCAAGAATATTTGCAGTCAGTAGGATTTCTGTACATCACAAGGGAAACATTTTGCTAATAAATGCTGATTCAAATGTTGTACGTTCCCACTGCTTCAGTTCTTGCTCTTGGCTAAGCAGATGAATGACTATTTAGTGTTGCTACAGAGCTGTCAGACAGCAGTTGTGTTTCAGCATTAGTTGGGGGGCATTCCTATGCATGCATTAGTGCTCAAAATGACCGTTAAGAATTTTGTTGTATGTGTTCACAGATACTCTTTAAGGTGGATTGATGTTGCAGATGGGAGTAAGAGTTGAATGCTCCCATGAAGGTGGGTGGGAGCCCCGTTGGAAATCAGATTAAACTGGACTAACCTTACCAGTGTTCTGAGTTATTCAGTGGCAAATCCCATGGAAACTGCACATAGATGAAATGCCTGGGAATTATGATTTTCAGGGTCAATTTTTTGGGTAATGAAGTAAAGAAATGAAATTAATTGTAGAGGAAATTGTAAACTGGCATAGATTTCAGTTCTGTTATCATAAAATTATTCCTGATCCTTTGGCTGGATGCTCTGTGTGAGCTGCCATTCCTCCTCCTAGTGTTAAAATCACCTCTTTTGTTTGTGCATGCTTTTTGGAAGTGATGAGACTGAAACAGCATTATACCACTTCAACTCAATAGGGAATGATTGCAACTGAAAAGCATTTATTTATTTGGTGTGAATCATTCCGTATTGCATTTCAGTTCCATTCTGAAGGGGAGCTTTGTTTGTCTTTTAAAGGCTTACTTAAACATAAGAGGAAAGGAGAACCAGTCCCTGGCACATTTATTTTGCTAACACTGCTGACGCATACCTCACTTCATAGAGCTGACGTCTTACTAAAGGACATCCAGGACAGTTTCAGCTATTCCAGTGTTTATTTTTACTACACCAAGTCTTTGCCGTTGGTTATCAGGATGTTCGTCAGTGAGAAAGAGAGATAATACTGAGATGCTAGCATTAAAGAGAAGGCTACAAATAAAGATGGTGGGGTTTGCTGTAAATGTCAGTGTTTATTGGTTCTACCTTGCTAGATGAGCTAGATGTTGAATAGGTTGGTCTAAAAAACTAAGCTGACGTTCTATGGAGAAAGTTGCCTCTTGAAGATTGATGTGTTATGAAGAGGATAAGAATATTATGGCAAAATCCAAGCTAGAGACAAGGATACGCCCTATTCCACTTAGTTTATTCTAGTTCTGTTTTTCAGACTACTTGAGAGATAAGAGCACTTAGCAAGTGTAGAGCAAGGCTCCTTTCCGTATTAAGGCATTCATATTCTGCTGGGAAGTTATGTTGCAAGGTGAGCAACATGAGTCTGTACGTGAATTCTCAGAGGTTCCTTAATTGCTGACACACACATGGCCATACTGACAGCATCTCAGCCCAGCCATGTGGAGTAAGGGATCTGCAGTATTCAAAACCAATCTGTTTTGACATCACGATGCAACATTTGTGCACAGGGCTCTATCAAACCTGCACCTCATCCGTAGCTGGTTCTTTTTGAGACCTGCAGGAGCTTAGTGACTCTCATTTCAGGAACCCCTCTCTAGTCCCCACCTGAGATGGTGGGTGGGTGAGATTCCAATCAGACAAATGGATGGATTACTGATAAGTTGTGTTGTTTGGCCATCTGGCTGTACTGCTGCTGCTGCCAGGCTCATTCTTCAGCTTGATGACCATAATGATTTTGGCAACAATTGTAGCTGCTCCCATTCATTCTTTCAATAATTTCCATTGCCCTTGCCAATTATTTTGAGGATCTTAGTCTTTTCTTTCGGAGCAATGTGTTTTTATGTTTCACGATCTCTGAATGCTGATTTATATGTCAGTCCCTTTGCGGGTGCTGTTCTTGGAGCACGTTTTACACAGAACCTTTTGAACTAGCTAGTGACAAAATGACTCAGACAATGCTGCTGTAAATAACCTTTCTGCAGACAGAGAATGAAAAAGAGAAAAGCCTCAGCTCTCCATTTTGCTGGACAGGGCACTAAGCATACAGTCAGACAGAAAAAAAACTCAGACTTATAGAAGTGTTGTCAGTAGCAGATTCCAGCTGTTCCCTTGGATATAGCATACAGAGGGACTCCCCACACAGAACTGGCTTCAGCTGCATTTTATTCTATGGTTTTGTCTATTTTTAGTATTTTGTCAGCCCCAACAGGCTGAAACAGGCATCTTCTTGTGTATTTTAAGCTGAAAGAAAAGTCAGTGAACACACAGTGAGTCTATACAGGCATCCAGAAACAAAACTGGCATTATAGGATATGAAATTCCTTGCTCTGAAGCATTGTTAAGGCTTATTCTGTTAAGTCCATACAGGCTGTCCAGCTCACATCTTAGCCCACTGGGGAAAAAAAAAAGAGTTCCCAAACGTGCTTGAAATACTAAACTACTCCCAGGAGGGAAAACCTAAACAAACAATATCCCCCTCGCTGAACACATCCAATCCTTCCCTAATTTAAACAGCCACTAGCACTGTTATCACCTTCTGCCAGCAACCCTCTTTTGTTGTTCAGAAGGAAGGCTTCTGCTGCTTCCATAAGTTTTTGCCACCTCTGTACGTTGCATGCCTTGGATACTCAACCAGCTGCTGGGTGCTGCTGAGTCTTAAAGGGACTGAAGTACATAGAAAGGGATTCTGTATCAAAATGCTTCTGCGTTAAGGCTGTGTGGTGACAGGTCATTACGTCACTGCCAGTCACTCGTGCCATCCTTTACATAACGGGCCAAACAGCACAAAGATTTTAGCAGAATGCATTCAGAATGAGAAGCTGCCTATTATTAACATATACTGGTGTATATCACAATAAAGCAGATGGAGCATCTCTAATTACCATCTGCAACTCATGAAATTAGGGTCTGCTAGTCTTAGAATCTTGATACAAGAGGTTATATTAGTAATCAAAGCAGTACTTGGAGAAAATCATCAGTTACTACCAGAAATAAAAGCATTTCAGATGTCATTTCCTTGAATATGTGCTTAATAGTTTCAAGTCTTTGAAAGCATGTTCCAGCTACTCCCCATCACACAGCTGCACTGACTCCACGCTCTTTGGATGCAGTTCAAATCCTGTTTTCAGTATGACAAGAACTTTTGTCCACACTGCAGTCCAGCAACAAGATGCATGCCAATAACCAGACAATGAAAATACCTTAGCAAACAGGCAGGGTTCTGGATCCTAAAGCCTTAAAGGCTGGCCAATCCTTCAACACAAACAGGCACATAGCTGTAGTACTGGATGCACAGTTAAACTGAGATGGCCACTCCCAGAAGCAGGTTCTGTGACAGGACCCAACTTCTCCTGCCCAGGCTGCCAATGCAGACACATTGTCAATTAGTGCCATGTCTCCTTCCATCACACCACATCAGGCTCTGTCTGAAAGGCTGCAGGACACCTCAGCTGCCTAGCCTCAAACATATGGCCTCAGCACAAGGGCAGCTGAAACACAGGGAGGTGATGGAGCCAGGTAATGCCCAGAGCCTGCTGGCACTGCAGCGTAAGGATTAGATGCTCGGGGCAAAGTTGAATATTCTCTGAGTACATCAGTTTGCTCATCAGCCTGAAGTTTGCTCCAGGGGTCTGATAGGAAATTTAATTCAAAGCAGTTGTGAAGTTTTTTCTGTAGGACGTACTCATCTCACCAATCTTCCCTATCCACTGGATCAAAGAAACTGCACAAAATGACACACAGGCATGCACAATTTCCTAGCAAATGCAAATACGTACTTTAAATGTGATGTTAATACAGTGGATTGCATTCAAGCATGCTGAAGGTCTACTTAAAGATCAGCATTTGCATTTCTGAAATGCTTACGTAATTCATAATCACCTGCTAACTTCATGAAGCTCTTCATGCTTCAAGGCTGAAAGACTTGTATGTGATATACATCACAATCCCCAAAGAATAATGGGAAAAGAAAATAGGAAAATTCATTCCCTACTGAGAGGATTTCTCTAAGGCTTCAAGGACAACTTTCCAACTGAAGCCCTGCAGAAGGGCTGATCTGTGGAACGTGACTAAAGCTCAGTATCACCACAGCGTATGTCAGTCTGATGAGGTGCCTACAGCTCTGCTCTATCGTTACAAACATGTAACACCTCTGAATGTAGTAGTTCATCTGCCTTGAGAATTAAGTTTGTCTTTTAAAGTGCAGCATGGCCTTGCAGACAGAAGGAGAAAGAGCAAAAAAAAAAAACAACATTTATCATTCCTTTGCCAGGCAGTTTTGGTTTGAAAGAAACCAGATGAGTTGTGCATCATTCATCTGAGGAACAAATCTACTCCACAGATTTGTCTGAGAGACAAGTGAATGCAATCCAAAAAAGCTATCCATTTCAGAATGGGAGGCTTGAATTCCATCCAACGGCAAAATGCATGCTGAGTAGCATCCATTTATTCAGGACAGTAATGGCTTCTTTTAGAAGCACATCGCCTTCATCATTTGTGTTAAACATGGCATATACCAACAAAAATTCCCGTATCTGTGAATGCAGGCTATCTGCCAGCTCTACAAAGGGAATTTTTCTTTTTAAAACAGCTACTGAGCTAGGGCTGTTGCCTGCAGAGCAGATTTTATATGTTCAGTCTACTGTGATCATCAGGTCTGAGTGCACAGTAACTGGAATTCGTGAGCCTTTCCAAGTCACCTCCTGAGTAAAGCCCTGAACAGACAGTCCCAGAAGTGAAGTAAGGAACAACTTCTCTCCCCGCCCCTTTGGGCAGCTCACATATGTGCTTTCAGCAATACCTAAAACAAGAAAAACACCTAGATCCACTTCACTGGGACTGACAGAAACAGAATGGAAATGAGAAACTGATTAAGTGGTGAGCCAGCTTTACTTGCTGAAAAACTTACAGTTCTCTTCCCTAATGTTTTTTTGTTTTTCTTTTTTAAACACTTCTTCATTTTTGCTTGTATTCCATTAATAAGAAAAAAAAAAACAACAAAAAAACCAAACTTGGCTCACAAGTTCTCAGTGCCTACACAGATGAAAGCTGTGAGAGGCCTTAAATGACTTCAGCAGGAAACTACTGGGAAGGGGAGTGGTCTGTTTTCTGACAGTCCCATTACACATTTCTAGGAAAAATCTTTTCAAGTTCTGTGTACGAAAACGAAACAGGATTACAGCACTGCCTCTCTTGGAGACGATCTCAATAACACTTTTCCTGCTCCCATGCCGGATTGCTGCAAAGTAATTCCCTTTTTCCTCCCTCCTCTTCTCCATCAGGATCTCAAGCTTAGAAATAGCACTTTATGTTGAACGAGGTTTTAGACTCAACACACTCAATGTCTGCTCAAGGTTCCTTTCAGGTAACCTTCAAGAATACTCTGTTCCACAGCTGCATTCCCAAATCCACCCCATTACCCAAGCCCCTCACACAAACTGTTTAGTGAGCTCAGGAGTTTTCCACTTAGTAGCGATGACAAAGCACTGGACTACTGCGAAACCCATGACAGAGGAGCTGAGCAATAGCAGACGCCAGCCAAATAGATCACTGAGGTGGAAGGTCATCCTTGAACTCTATTTCCATTTTTCCCCTCTTGGTAAATTGCTCTGGGAACAATCCTCTTTTCTAGCATAATGTAATCAAGAATTAGAAAGTCACCACCGCTTACACAGCACAGCAATTCCTGGCCTGACTGACTGTGCTGGGAATTTCAGCTGATGTCTCCACCCAAGCAGCATGTGGAACCAATGTAATGGCTAACACAATTCAGAGCTTAAAATGGAGTGATGCTGCAGTTCCAGCTGGTCTTGTAAGTCAGTACGAGATTCTTGGAAGCATTATAGGAGAAACAGAAATAACAGAGGTGAGGAATGGCTCCTTATCTGATGATGCAAGATAAAAGCAAAGTAGACAGCGCTACACAGCACCGTGCTCAGAACCAAGGCAGCATGGGAAAGAAGTACATTATTTTTATCTCTGCTTTTAGAACAGCTACAGCCCTTTGCGTATGGAAAGGTGATGATATGTAAGAGCCTACAGGTAAAAAAAAGAAAGCTTTCATTCTGCTGAAGAAAATAGGTTTGCTGTATGAGCTAGGCATGGCCTGAGTGCCCTCAACAGGTACTGAGACTCACAGTACAGTGCTCTGCAAATCCCCTTATGGCCAGAGAGCTGCATCTCCCTATGTGTCAGCTAAAGCCAAGTCTAGAAGGGCCTTCTCCACTACTGAGAAGAAACATCTAC